TTCCGCATGCACCGCTCAGAAGTGACGAACGCGGAAGCACAGGGAAGAAATCAAAACAAACCACAAGTCACTAATTAGAAGTACAAAACGTGGATTTGTAAAGAAGAATGTCGGAGGATTTCGATATAAGCCAAGAGGAGACTGGTTTTCCTTTGCTAAAGTAAGGAAACTTTGCTTCCTTTGCTCCTGTAAACAAACTTTGGTTTTCACGAGACTCACCGGCGCATGTGCAACGCCGACATGTTACGTCATCCTCCCGGAGCTGCTTCCGTGTACAACTGTTGGCGCAAGCTAGATTAAAGTGATTATTACATTTTGAATATGGATATTTTTCTTACAAAAACGCATCGATTCGCTACAGGAGGCCTTTGTTTGTACCAATCGAAACTCGGTAACTCTCAGTCAGCGGCCGGTTTTCCAGCGGGACTGGAGTCTCTGAGCAGCAGAGGTGTGCGATGAATCAGATGCAGCGCTTTAGCAATATGCATGTCTAAAATAAGCCGCCTCAGAATGTGTGATGATTTTTTCTCAACTCCTCGATCTCACGCTATATGCCACCTTTCTGCGTGTAAGAGCCTCCATCTGCCACACAATCTTTCCACCGGCCCCGGGAAGCCACCTGACTGGAACGCTTTACAGGCGCCAAGATCGTTCACATCGAGTCTGAAGCTTCATAGAGGGAAAAAGCCGCCGGAAAATTCAGCTGTCAGGGAAGTAAATCATAATGAATCAGGCAATGAAAACGGAATCGGCAGTAATGCCATATTGAATTTCTGTCTCAAGGTCTTGAAAAAGGATGGATGAGGAATTCACTTTTTTTATGGGTAGTTAAATTTAATCAAGGCCTTTTTCAGGTTTGCTCGTCTCGGCCAATAGAGGTCTCTCTAACGGCGTCGAGTGCGCACACATAAGCACAGACAGATGGAAAAGTTACTTTATTGATCCCTGAAGGGAAATTCAGTGCAAAACGGCAGGAGCATCAAATAAAGTGTGCATAAATACACAACTTTCAGCAAACAGCACTAAACGTTACATAGAGTGCAGCCAATTGTATCATACAGGGCCATATTTAAGTCTCTCAGCATCCATTAGCGCCTTCCTTAATGGTTAACGAAATTAACTGAGCTGAAGGTTATGGCTTAATATAAATTAGTATACAATATTCTATATTCGATTTCCCAAATGAACTTCCAATGCAAACATAAACAATACAATAGCATGGTAACACTTTGGTAGCCTACTTTATGTATAAACCCATGGTTCTGAATGAAAAATGTTTATATAGCTACCGTGGTACATAGGCCTACTTCACGAAATACCATGGTTTTAGCATGGCATGTTTTGTGTGAACTGTCTATAACTAGCCTTATTTTGAAGAGATACTATTTTTGGATTTAACCTCTGACTTAAATATTTTTGTTATAGCGTCATGATCTGCTGTTGTGCAAAACTGTGTTGTTTAACAATTCAGTCACACTTAAAGTAATCCAGTCGCACATGTGTCTGTCTGCTCTGGCCTGTTACTCATCACTCACACGGTTGCCAGTGAAGGCCGTTTCTCTGCACAAATCTCATTACTCGATCTCTCTTTTTCATTTCCCTGTCTCTCTCTCTAACTGCCATCTTGTGTACAGCTGCCTCAGCTTTAAGTCTGACTCGGGGCAGCCACTCTTGATTCATCCCATGAGTCTTTGGGGCAGTGGCTGCTCTCTTCCCAGAAATGCATATTTGCATAACCATAAATCACTCACCAAATGTGTAGACAATGAGGTTCTGGGTCTCGGCCTCTTTGTTTCTGTACAGCTACAGGTTTCAGTCAAAATAAAGAGATGAATCTTATAAAACATAACTTAAAGAACACGTCCAAATCATATCCCCCCCCCCCAACCCCACATCAAAAGTATAAAATAATATTTTGCCCAAAGAAAATATGTGACAATTAAGCATATCCCTCCTAATTCTTTATAATATTATATTAATGTAAAACAAAGTAATTTTATATACATTTTTTATATGATTTTTTTGCATTGTGACATTATTTTTATGACAATTAATCATATCACTCTTCCCATTTTCATTACCATAACGCAAAGAAATCTCATTCTCTGTAGTAGCAATGATATTATTTAAACAATGTTATAATAATAATGTAAAATAAAAAGTAATCATTTATATTTGCTTATTTCTTGCATTGTGACATTATTTAATGACAATTAAGCAAATCCCTCCTCCCATTTTCATTACTGTAATGCAAAGTCTCTGTAAATAGGAATTATATTTTATTATTTAAATAATATTCCGATATGAATATAAAATATAAATTGACATTTTATAATTCTTTTTTTTTTTGGCTCTGTGGCATTAACTTTCAACACAGTTAAACACATCCTTCCTCCCATTCTCATTACTGTAATGCAAAAAGATGAAAAAATAAATAAATAATACAAATTTCAATCTCATTCTCTGTAATAGGAACTGTATTATATTATTCAAATAATATTAAATATGCACAATGCAAAAAATCATGTTCTCTAAAATACAATTGATATATTTATTTTTAGTTTTTTGTTATATAATAAAATATTAAGTATAATATATTTGACATTATATTATATTATTAATGTTTATAATATAATATAATATATATTTGACACATATTATTAATGCAAAATGTAATTTTTTATATTTAAATCTTTAAAAAATGAAAGAAATAAAATATAAAAACTTAAAAGTAAAACATCTAGACCATTTATGGTAGTGAGAATTGGGGCTTAATCGTTTATAAAAATAATGCAAAAGACCTTAATGGTCCTTAACTAGGTTTAATTTTCTCTTCCCTCACGTGGAAATTGATCTGGAGATGACATCTGGATATCCAGTACATGTAACGACCTGTTTGGAGTCTCTTGGGCCCTGAACAAGAATGCTGGCGGACAGCATTTAGAAACAGCTCTCAAATTTACAGCCCCATAATCCTATATAGAGATCTGGGTTTGACATCTCGTGTTTGATTGAACACTTCATATTTTGCTTCCCCACACAGGGTGACAGAAATAGGATAATTTATTGTACGTCCCCTGACAGGAATAAACTACACCGTGGCCCACTCCGGGGAGATGGATGCGACTCTGTTACACTTTCACAGGTGACTTGAACTGTTGACAGATAACACACTCGACGGAGTTGGATCTGTCAGAAAAGTGAAAGTTGTTTGAGTTCTGCTGAATGCTGACTGTGCTGCATAACACAAAATATAAAAACACAAATAAATCTAATTAAAATAGCATAAACAGTTGGGGTGCCATGGTATCACAGGGTAATATCATGGTACTTTCATATAAAACATGGTACAGATAGATAGATAGATAGATAGATAGATAGATAGATAGTTATTTTTGTATTTATTTACAGAAAGCACTATGGTACTTTGACATATACTATGGTCATTCATGATTGTGGCACTTTTGTGTGTATGTTCAATTCAATTGTAAATTGATGATAAGATAGATCTTCAATTGTAAGTGTTCAATTACAAAAAGTACTATGGTACTTTCATATCATAGTACCATTTTCATTACTATGGTATTTATATTATTCCAAGGCACTTAAAATATTATGGTGGTACACGTCATGAAAATGTCATTGTACATGTCTAAAACAACATAGTATCAGCATGATACCATGGCAAAAAACAAACAAACATAGTAATACCATGGTACTTGTATAAGTGCCAGACTAGCTTTAAAAGTAATCATTGAATTTGGAAGATATGCTCTTTTCACCAATCTACACTAGATTAAAAGCACTTTAAAATCGAGCTCTCTCCTCCATCAGGTCTTTGCTGGTTCTGTGGTTTAAAGCTCTCAGCGCGGGGAAGGGGAGGAGACACACACACACACACACACACACACATACACATCCATCAGCTCCGTTCCTCCGTTCTCGAGTAACCGGGCAGGAGGAGGCGAGCGCGATCAGACCTCCAGGTGTGTGTAGATGTACGTGTGTGTTACAGTCACACCTGGATGCATCATGTGATCAGATACCTGGGCGTGGAGCTAGCGTTCAGTGTGTTAGTCGGTAACGGGAATCTCGGAACCGCAGATCTCTTGTCGCTCCGCGCGTGAGTGACGTGAACTTTCCGTGCACCGGGAATCTATTCCTCTCAATCTAAAGGGAATCCGTGGTCTGGACGCTGCAACCGCTGCCAAGGTGAGAGTCTGTGTTTGACGTGGAATATTGTGCGTTGTACCTTCCAGCAGTTCTAGGTTGTGTTCGGTTTCAGACGGGACGCGTATCCCGGACTGAGACGCATGTTGCATGTGAGATGATGTACCGACTGTGCTCATGTGTTGTCGGTAGCCGTTTTAACATTCGTTGCTAGAAACTTATCGTTATTTATGTCCTTAGTAGCTTACTTTTATTTAATATTAGTAGGTAATGTTTTATAATTTCACTAGTAAGTATTCAACAGACTCTAGTATGCCGTGTACGAACTAGTGTGTGACTTTTAGGAGGGTCTATGCAATCGGTTGAGGTTCGTCTCGCGCAGTAACGCCAATGTCTTGTGGCGCGCCTGGCGCTAACCGTCAGCTATCTTGAAGACGTTTTGTGTTTGTTTGTAAATCTATGTTAAACTGATTAGCAATGACTAGTACTTAGGCTACTTTGTCTATATACTGTCCGATAATGATAACGGAAAGTGCTCGAGCGGCGTATTGTTGCAATAGGAACGTCAAGTGTAAGCGACGGGCATCCGTTTAGCACCCTGACTAACTTTTAGGCAAATCTTTTTTTTGTGGTACTGAAAAGTTATTTAAACCTATATATACTTGTATGAAAAATTAATACTTAGTTTTTAGACACCTAACTTTTGTTTTGACTTATTTTGAGGGGTGCAGACTACCCAAACTACCAATATTCGCGCCCAGTTAGTAGCCTGTGTATTCATAGTAAGTTAAGTTGGACTACTCTTACTTTTATGGTTCCTGAAACATTTACAAAAGCTGTTAAAACGTACATGTACTTATATTTTTTAAGACCGTCAACCTTTTTGTTTTGACTTATTTTGAGGTGTTCAGAACCGAAACCCACATTAATCGCACACTGCTAGTTTGTATTCCTGCAATAATAATGACTATCAGTTAGTCTTTTTGCTACTCCAGTCACTATCCCAGTAGTGGTGAGTAACTGTTCCATTGTTGCCGCCAACAATTTATAGTTTTTGCCTTTAAGTAACCATTTCAAATTTAGTAGTAATATTAACTATAAAGTATTTCTTGATGGTTGACGAGTAGGCCTATATGTCCGATTCTTGTGTGTCCCGAATACATAGTAAGTTATGTACTTCCAAAACAGCCTACTTAGCTAGTCTTTTTCCCAAATATTTGTAGTGAAATTTAGTCAAACATTATGCCAAATGAAGCATTTTTTGTGTCTCAATTGCCATTTAATTTAATTATTTATAATCCCATATGTGTAGACTACTAGTTATGACCTTGATTTGTCTTAAATGGACATGATGGATTTTTAATGGGTTGGATCTGGCTAATAGTGTTTCTTTGTCTTTGCTCTGCTCTTCTAAGACCACAGTGTTGTGTTTCACAACCACTAGTTGTCTGTTCTGTTTGTATCAGGTTAAACTGTGCGTGTCTAACATCAGAGGACATTATTCACTTGCATCGCATGTGCGCTTGAGTACAGAGTACAACAGGTCCGGACGAGCTCTTTCTGTGTCTTTAACTGTGTAAACCCTGCTGTTTGTCTCGGCACACTGGCTCCTTTCAGCCGGGGCTCTGAAGTTGTGCGTCTCTCACATTGTACCGCCTTGTTCTGCCTCTAAATTGCGTCTTTATTGGGCTCTTCTGTATTTCTATGCAGTGAAAGGGAGGAGACATCCTGGGGGATTATCCTCATTAAATGCTTTAAACAAACGTGCCAGATTAGCCGGGATCGTTCTCCATGTGGGGGCAACGGAGCCGAGGGTGGGTGCGGTGTGGTGAAAAGAACAACCCCAACAGTGAAAGGCAGCGTTTTCATAAATACACACCATCTGCACACACACACTCCACGTAGCCGGCGTGAAATCAGGTCCTGCTCCTGCCTACAGCTCTTGGGCTTATCTGCCGTCCTGCGAGCATTTAGTATAGAGCGACTGTCCCTTATCTGAGCTGCGAAATGCGTGATGAATGTCCTCTCCGCACGGAGCTGAATGATTTCATTCACCTTCCGAATGTCCCTGTGTTTTATGCTCAGAAATCATCAATTACCCGCAATCACCTGCAGGGCTGTCAGGGAAAGCACTTGGCCAGAGCACTTGTTTATCAAAAGCTAAATAAAGAAGTAGCATTTGTCTGATGTTAGCCTGGAGGAAAACAGGATGGTGATGTTTAATGTCATACATTCACCTTTTTCTTCTGCTGTGGCACCCGTGACTTCCTTTTTTCTGAGGGGCCTGGTTTTCCATCAACAACGAATTATTCAGAATAGTTTGCCAAAGAAGAAATGGCACCGTACTTCCCTTTTTCCCCCTGTGGTTTGGCCGATTAAAGGCCTTTTAAGCATGTGGTCATGTTGCCAGCTTGAGTCTGGGCGTCTTTGGTCATTTTTGTTGCCTTCAGCATGTCAGGCTGCTCTGCACTTAAAGTAATGCATGTTGATATTGGAGATTCTTGGAAAAGTTGGATGCTTTTTCTTGTACCGGTGTGTTGAGTCTGGCTGCTCTGAAATGGCCTTCTTGCACGGATATTATGAAAAAGTTTGGCAAGTGTTTCTTAACCCAGTCCTGATGTTTCAGTCCGGAGAGCGACATTGAAGCCTCTACTTTAGATTCTTCTCATAGTTTTCAATTTAACAGTGCATGCTCTAATAAATAGGTAAAGTAGATGTGATGGAATAAATTGTGACTTTCAGGTTTTCTGACCAACCAAGTGACAGACATGTTGTTAAGTGTAAACCTGAATGCTTTGTTTTGCCCACAGCTAAATCTCATTGGACACTCCCGCTCCACATTTATGTGTGATTTACCAAGGTGTTTTTTTTTTCTTGTTTTTTTTTTAATAAAGTCATTAAATCATAAAACACAGAATCCAGAAAAATTAAAATAGACAACACCAAATAAATAAATAAATAAAGACACTAGTAGGACATTATTGTTAATTTCATTTTATAAATGATTAAATTAAATTCCGTGTTGTTAATTGAAATTTAATTAAACTATTAAAATGGAACAATTATAATAGAAAACATGGACTTTGAGAAAAAATAGAATGGATTCCATAGAGTCCTGTTTCTATTATACATGCAATATGTTTGATTAGGAATGCACAATATATCGGTACCATATCGGTTATCAGCAAATATTGTTTTTTTATTTCAGTATAGATATTTTATGTTTAATTGTGCATGCTTATTTCCTCAATTTTTACATGTTAAAATTACAAATAATTTAATAACATTGCTAAATGTAATATTTCATATCTAAAAATGAGTATCCATTTTTCATATTGTACTTTATTATGTTGGGATGCCAGTTAGTGTTTTGTTAAAAAAAAAAAAAAATTATTTACAAAATTTTAAATAATAAGAAATAATTCTGTATATTTTTACTTTTTTTGTCTAATGTTTCTATAGCACATTTCACAATATATAGCACATTTTTAAAATTGTATTTATTTATTTATTGGTATCTGCCATTATTTTTAAAGCAGATTTCACAATTTTAATATCATAATTTATAAAGTAATAGTGTAGTTATAATTATAGTGTAATTTTCATATCATACTTTATAATGTTGGAGTGCTAGTTATAGTGTTATGTTTTTAATTTATTTAGACAAAATAATATGATATTAAATAAAATAACATTTATTAATTGTAATCATTATTTTTATAGCAAATTTCAAAACAAATTTTTATGTGTAAAACAAGTATTTATGTATATTTCTGTGTAATGAATTTTTTTTTTAAACAAAGTAGAATAGATTTATAGCATGCAAATAATTATTGGCTTATATGTATCGACCATAATAGTAGTTTTTAATCAGTTTTTAATTTTCACTTTACACTGTCAGCAGCTCATTGTCTTTAGGCATGTGAGTCAGTCCTAAGAGGTCTCATCTTTGGTTTAATCTTGCTATTATGCCATCTTGATGACGTGTGAAGTCGAGTGAGTAGTTTTAAGTCCCCCAATCCCCCTAAGGGCTGAGATACATCAGATTACAACAGCATCATGGGAAATGATGGGCATAAGGTGAGATCGCATTCATTCTCATGCTTGCTAATCAACAGCTGGCCACAGATCTGTGCCGTCTGGGGATCTATGTTTTTAATTTATTTAGACAAAATAATATAAAATGTTATTAAAAATCAGTTAATTTTTTTATTTAATTTTTGTAATATTTCTGCAGCATATTTTGATGCAGCATACAAGCTTTTTTAACATTTATTAATTGTAATCATTATTTTTATAGCAAATTTCAAAACAAATTTTTATGTGTAAAACAAGTATTTATGTATATTTCTGTGTAATGAATTTTTTTTTTAAACAAAGTAGAATAGATTTATAGCATGCAAATAATTATTGGCTTATATGTATCGACCATAATAGTAGTTTTTAATCAGTTTTTAATTTTCACTTTACACTGTCAGCAGCTCATTGTCTTTAGGCATGTGAGTCAGTCCTAAGAGGTCTCATCTTTGGTTTAATCTTGCTATTATGCCATCTTGATGACGTGTGAAGTCGAGTGAGTAGTTTTAAGTCCCCCAATCCCCCTAAGGGCTGAGATACATCAGATTACAACAGCATCATGGGAAATGATGGGCATAAGGTGAGATCGCATTCATTCTCATGCTTGCTAATCAACAGCTGGCCACAGATCTGTGCCGTCTGGGGATCTTTATGCAGCATACGGCCTTATCGTCGCTCCAGCGCCATACACCTCTGTACACTGACTACACCAAGAAAGTCTTCCTCCCCATTCTTGTTCTTTCACTTCCTCCATCTTTTTCCCTCTCTTTTTCATACCATCTGCTGATGGGCAGAAAACCATTTCCTCAGCTTCGTTCTGGTCACGCAGATGGATTCTGGGTAAAAAAAAAAGTCAGTGTTCTAGGGAAAATAAGACACTGGAATGTGTGGGAGGGACTCTTGCACATGCACACAAAACCTTCGCCCGCAGGAGAACAAGATCTCCGGCTTTTGCTTCAGAGGGT